TGTATCAATTTTATTGATCCTTTTAAAGAACCAGTTTTTGTTTTATTGATTTTTCTATGTCAATTTCTTGTTTTCAATTTTATTGATTTCTGCTCTATTTTCTATTTTTTTAATGGAGGTACTGTGGATTGAACCCAGGACCTAAGTATGCCCTCTGCCACTGAACTATACCCACCCACCTTGCTCAATTTTTTATTAATTCTTTTCTTCTCTTACTTTGAATTTAATTTGCTCTCCTTTTTCTAGTTTCCTAAGGTGGAAGCTTAGATAATTGATTTTAGATCTTCTTTTCTAATATATGCATTCAATGCTAGACATTTCCCTTTAAGCACTGCTTTCACTGTGTCCCACAAATTTTGGTAAGTTGTATTTTAGTATTCATTTAGTTAAAAATACTAAAAAAAATTCTCTTGAGATTTTTTTCCCTTAAACTCATGTGTTATTTAGAAATGTGTCATTTAATCTCCATGTATTTTGGGATTTTTCCAATTATCTTTGTGTAATTGATTTCTAGTTTAATTCCACTGAGGTCTGAAAGCAGACATTGTGTGATTTCCATTTCTTTAAATTTCTTAGGATGTGTTTTATGGACCAGAATGTGGTCTCTCTCAGTGAATATACCATGTGAACTTGAGAAAAATGTGTCTTGTGCTGTTGCTGGATAAAGTAGTCTAGTGGATGTCGTGTGAAATTGATCGATGGTGTTGTTGAGTTCACCTGTGTCCTTCCTTATTTTCTGCCTGCTGACTCTGTCCATTTCTGATAGAGGGGAATAGAAGTCTCCAATTATAATAGTGTGTTCATCTATTTCTCCTTGCATTTCTATTAGTATTTTGCCTTATGAATTTTGATGCTCTGTTATTAGGTACATACACATTAAGGACTGTTATGTCTTCTTGGAGAATTGACCCCTTTGTCATTATGTAATGCCTCTCTTTACACCTGATAATTTTGCTTGCTTTGAAGTCTGCTCTATGTGAAATTTATAATATAGTTACTCCTGCTTTATTTTGATTAGTGTTAGCATGGTATATCTTTCTCCACCCCTTTACTTTTAATCTATATGTGTCTTTATATTTTAAGTGGGATTCTTGTAGGCAACATGTAGTTGGGATCTTGTTTTTTTGATCCTCTCTGACAGTCTCTGTCTTTTAACTGGTGCCTTTAGACCATTGAAATTCAAAGTGATTACTGATACACCTGGATTAATGCCAACCGTGTTTGTTACTATTTTCTGTTTACTGCCCTTGTTATTTGTATGTGTGTGTTTTATGTATTTTTTAATTGAAGTTAGTCTACAATGTTGTGTCAGTTTCTAGTGTAAAAATTTTGGAGCGTGTCATGAATTTGCATGTCATTCTTGCACTACCATTGTTGTTTGTTCCTATTTTTGTCTTCTGTTCTTTTTCTGACTTTTGTGGTTTAATTGAGCATTTTCTATGATTTTGTTTTCTCTTTCTTATCATATCAGTTATACTCCATTTTTACTTTTTACAGTGGTTACCCTAGAGTCTACACTATAAAGTTTACAACTAATTTAGATTCACTTCCAATAACACTATACCACTTCACAAGTAGTGTAAGTACCTTATAATAGGAAAATAATCCTCATTCCTCCCTCCCGTTCCTGTATCATTGCTTCATTCATTTCACACACACATATGTTATAAAAATATATATGCAAACATAATCAAATGCATTGTTGCTATTATTTTTTGGAACAAACTATTATCTGTTAGGTCAATCTAAAATAAGAAAAATAATACAAGTTTTTATTTTACCTTCACTTATTCTTCTCGAGTGCTGTCCTTTTCTATGTATATAGATCTGAGTTTCTGAGCTGTATTATTTTCCCTCTCTCTAAATAACTTTTTTGAACATTTCTTGCAAGGCAGGTCTTCTGGCAACAAATTCCCTCAGTTCTTGTCTGAGAAAGTATTTCTCCTTCACTTACAAAATTTTTTTTTAATTGAAGTTAAGTCAGTTTACAATGTTGTGTCAATTTCTGGAGCACAGCATAATGCTTCAGTCATACATGAACATACATATATTCCTTTTCATATTCTTTTTCACTATACGTTACTACAAGATATTGAATATAGTTCCCTGTGCTATACAGTAGAAACTTGTTGTTTCTCTATCTCTCCTTCACTTTTGAAGGATAATTTTGCAGGGTGCAGAATTCTAGATCTCTGGGAGTTTTTTCTTCAACACTGTAAATATTTCATTACTTGGTTGATTTCTGAGAAGTTGTATGTGATTCTTATCTTTGCTCCTCTGTAAGTAAGGTATGTTTTCTCTCTGGCTTCTTTCAGGATATTTTTCTTTCAGGATTTCTTTCTTTATGTTTGATTTTCTGCGGTTTGAAAATGATATGCCTAGATGTAACGGGCTTTTTTTTTTTATTTGAGGCCGGAGGCATTTATCCACCATGGTGTTCTCTCAGCTGGATCTGCAATTTGATATCTGACATTAATTTGGGGAAACTTCCATTACATGTGTTACGCTTTTTGTAGTCCCACAGTTCTTGGATATTTTGTTGTTGTTGTTGTTTAGTCTCTGTTCTCTTTGACTTTTAATTTTGGGGGGTTCTATGGAGATATCCTCAAGTTCAGAGATTCTTCTTCAGCCCTGTTTAGTCTGCTAACAAGCCCATCAAAAGCAATCTTCATTTCCATTACAGCACTTTTGATTTCTAGCATTTCTTTTTGGTTATTTCTTAGAATTTTCATCTGTGCTTACATTGCCCACTTGTTCTTGCACACTGACTATTTTACCCAATATTAGAGTCCTTAGTATATTAATCATAGTTATTTTATTTTTTAAAAAAATTTAATTGAAATGTAGTTGATGTATAATCATAGTTGTTTTAAATTACCTAACAATTCCGACTTCCCTGCCATGTTTGGTCCTGATGCTTGCTTTGTCTCTTGAAACTGTTTTTTGCCTTTCAGTAATCTTTTCTTGATAGCTGGACATGGTGTCCTGGGTAAAAGAACCTGCTGTTTGTAGGCCTTTAGCAATGTGGTAGTGATGTGTGGGGAAGCGGGTGTTTTCCAGTCCGATGATTAGGTCTCGGTCTTTTAGTAAGCCTTTGCCTCTGCACTGTGAACTTCACAGTGTTTCTCATTTTTGCTTTGTTTTGTTTTTTTCTCCCCACCTTTTTTTCTGTCCCGCTTGGGTGCGTGTGACAGGTTGGTTAGAATAGGCTGCAGTTTGGCTATTTCCCTCTCTCCAGGTCTGTTAGGCTTGATAAAACCCCAGCAGGTTAGGTTCTGGTTAGCTAGTTTCTCCTGAGGGCAGAGAGCTCTAATGTATTTCAGAATGGTTCCTTTTCTCCTTCCCCAGCTAAAAGCACAAGGAGAAATTTTCTCCAGTATTTACTCTGAGAACCTGATCGAGTTCTTGAAGGTGACGTTCACCAAAGTGTGCTTCTCCCGCCCCTGTAGTAGCTGGGTCCCCCTGAAGTTTTAACTCTTAGACTTGCCCACAGTCTCAGAATTGCCTGCAGCAATTTGTCAATGTCCTTTTCAGCTTCCCTAGCGCAGCACTGGTTCCAGTGGAGGCTTCTCCTCCACTATGTGGTGATTCTCTGTGTTTGCCTGTCTCTCCAACGTTGGAGAGGGCAGTCGTTTGCCCTTCTCTTATGGATCTCAGAAGAGTTTTTGATTTTTCAGCTTGTTTAGCTTTTTACATATTTTTAGGATGAAATGGAAACTTCCAAGCTCTACACATGTGGAACCAGAAACTGGAGCAGATTACAGTTTTTAAATGATGCGCTCTCTGAACTTCCTTGCTCTATCATAAACTTCTCGCCTGCCTAAATTCACATCTCTTCACCTATCTCTTTTCTTTTCTCGATTTCAGGATTTTATTAAATTTAATTTTTAAAATACCCAGTACATTTGTGTGGTACAGAAAAAAAAAGAAAAGAAAGAAAAAGGCACCCATACCTGGTTTTCCTCCCTAGAATAAGGATTTCAGTCCTTCCAGAGACAGACTGTGCACATACAATTAAATTTGTGGGTTTTCCTCCCTCTGTTTTTGTTTGTTTGTTTTTTTGTTACACAGTTGGTAATGTTCAGTAAAGACTATCCTGAACCTTGATTTTACTTTTCAAATAGTTCCATATTGGTTTATAAAGAGCTTCCTCATTCATTCTTGAGCCATGGCTACAAAGTGTTCCATTTTACACACATGTGAGGACTTATCTAACCATTTCCCTGTAGATTCATTTAGACTGAAATCATTTGCTACTATGATCGATGTTGCACTAGATGACCTTGGACAATTGTGATTTTACACACAAGAAAGCTATCTGTAGAACAAATCCTTAGAAGTGGAATGGCTCAGTCAATGGTGCAGGCATTTTTCATTTGGAAAAATTTGCTCTCCCTGGAACTTGTACCAATTTGCATTCCTTCAGTAATGAACAAGTGCTCATGTCCCCAAACCCTCACCAACAAAGTTTTACCATTTTTTTTTCTTTTTAATCTTTACCAACGAGCTAGGTGAAACCGTGACATGTGTGGCCCAAAGATGTACACCATGCTCCACGTAGGATAATTCATACTGGAGAAAAGTCATATAAACATAATGACTACCAGAGGGCTTTCAAGGGGAAACTGGAATTCGTTAGGTATTGTTTAATTCACAGTGGAAAAAACCTTATGAATGTAAGGAATGTGGGGAAATTTTTTAGGTGGCTGTGTCAACATCAGAGAATTCACAGTGGAGAAATGCCGTAGGAACCTAAGGACTGTTGGAAAACTTTCTGGAAGAGTTCATACATTGTTTCCCATCAGAAAATTCATCTGGGAGAAACCCCTGTGAGTCCATTGAGTGTGGAAGAGCCCTCAGTGACAGCTTAGGTCTCACTGCATGTCAGTGAATTCACACTGGAAAAAATCTTAAGGATGTAAGGAGTGTAGGGCAACACTTAGACATAATTCAGCCTTATCAGTCCAGAGACTTCATGTTAGAAGAGAAACCTTTTAAATGTAATGACTGCAGGAAAGCCTTTCCTCAGAGCCCACATCTTACTCTACATTACGGTATCTACTTATAAAAGAAACCCTGTAATTTATTGAACGTGGTAAAGCCTTTAATCAGAGCTTAAGTTTTATTCAACATCAGAGAATTCATTCTGGAGAGACACACTGTGAAAAATGTCATGAGTGTTGGAAGGTCTTCAGTTATAGTTGAAATGCAGAGAATTCAGATGGGAGAGAAACTGGCTCTAGTAGAAGTGGAAACGCTCTCTGCCCTAGGTCAAGCTTTACAGCGACATCAAAGAATCCATTTCAGGGAAGAATCCTATGAATGTAATGAACACGAGGGAACCTTCAGCTAGACTTGTGTGAAAGAATCTGCTTTGTGAAAAAGAGATAAAAACTTGAGCAACTGAGGATCTCTGAGTATTTATTTTGTGATGCGAAGCTGCCAGCTGGTCCTGGTGTGCGCTCCCTTGGTTGAGACATTTCTTCAGTGAATAATTGATCAATTGGTAAACCTGGAAGAAAGTTTGTCTGCAGTTCTTTCCTCTGTCTCATCAGAAGTGCCGCACCAGTTGGAAAAGCACTGGCCGCGCGTCTCAGAAATGCGTGGAAGCATCATGACTTTTTGTGCCTGTAAGTAGCTCAGATGTCCTCGTGGATAGGCCAGAGTTGCTGATGTCCCCTGTGGTCATTTCCTGCCCATAATCAGGGAAGTGCAAGGCAGTCCCGGAGTGGAGGGTCCTGGCAAGTTTTCTCTCACCAAGAAGAAGTGGTTGATATCAGTGGGAGGAAAGGTGCCAGGGTGCTGTGGGAAAAGAGCCCTCATGCCTTTGAAAGGGTTGAAGGGTGGAGGGGCCCCCGGTAGAAATGAGAGAAGTGGATGTGGGCCATTTCCATTATTTTCTGGTTTTCAGCTTAATGTTGATGGAATTACCCATTAGGATGTGCGTATTAAAGAGAGGGATGTGAAGATGCATTCGTGCTCTTATGAAGCTTCATTGCTTCCCAGAACTCGGCCTTTGTGTCTATTCTCATACCTGCCCAGTCCTCCTCGACACATGCAGAACTGTGGGGTGCAGTTTCCTGTGCAGAGCCTCGTGGGACCGGGATGGAGGGAGTGCCCAGGGTGCAGAATTTCCAGGGGCACTCGCTCTCTTGCATGACCCTGAGAGTGATGCCACCTTTAATGTTGTGGCCTTGTGCCTCCCTTGACCCTAGGCCTGGCCCTGGAGGGAAGCCCTGGAGTCTGGATGGCTTGTTTGGAGGGAACTGAATGGACATCTGGATCTCGGGGGTCTTGAAACAGCTGGAGCAGAGAGAAAGGGATGGAAGGAAAAATGAAAGAAAACAACAAGGTCTTACTGTATGTCACAGGGAACGGTATTCAGTATCTTGTAATAACCTATGATAAAAATAATATATATAACTGAATTACTGTGCTGTACACTAGAAACTAGCATTGTAAATCAACTATTCTTCAATTAAAAAAATTTTTTAATTAAAAAAATAAAAAAGAAGGAAACACTTGGGAAGAAACTAGCCAGCTAAGGGAAAGGAGTAGGGATGGGTTTAGTCACAGAGCCTTAGCTGGAAAAACCGGGCAGCTCCAAGACACAGACCTCACATCTTCAGAGGCACCAGTAATGACCCTCTCTGTTTTCTCTTTCCTTTTCTGCACCCTACCCCCCATCTTCCCTTTTGTTTTATAGATGCCTAACCAAAACCAGTCCAAAGAATGGTATTGATTTCATGGACTCGTTTGCTGAGTGCCACCATGCTCTACACACTGCTGTTTTGAAATCTGCTTTGGTTGGACTCTTTCCAAGGAGGTCCTCAGAAATTAGCTGAGGTAATGGTGTTTTATTACAAGGTACTGAGTTTATTTTTTATTGTTGTATTATTATTATTCATTTATTATTTTATGGCTTTATTATAAAGGTAATGGGATAACTCGGCAGGCCTGGGCTGCCCAGACTCTGCACATTCCCAAGATTTTCAAGACTGGCCCTTGGCCAGCTCCTGGGGGATAACCTTTTGAGCCCTCGGAATATCTTGTCTGGGAAGAGTATCATTGTATATGTGAGGCCCTGGGGCCGTACCAGGTAGTTAACGCTAACAATGGGATGTATGGTAAACACCTGTTTTTGTATGCCTAGAGGCCTTTGGGCCACACTGCGTCTGGGCTCGAGACTGAACAGCTAAGGTCAGTCACACCGACCCTCCCTGCTTACACGACTGACCCCCAACAAAAATCCTGTATTCCAAGACTCTGGTGAGCTTCCCTAGGGAACCTCAACATAGATACTCTTTTTTTTCGACATAGATGCTCTTGCAGAAGAACCCAGAAAAGCAGAACAGGCAGACTTCAGATTATTTTGGATCCAAGGCAGCTCTAAGGACTTCGATTTAAAAAATAATAATTTTCAACCACAGAACTTTATTTTTAAACCAGTGTAAGCACCCAAAGATCAAAGTTCAAAAAACAAAAGCAAAACAAAAAGAGAACACAAAGAGATATAATTGTCTGTATGTTGCTAAATCTAGCGGCCCAGGAAGAATTCCACCAAATGTCAAAGGATGTCTCTGGACTAGAGCAAGGGAAAGGGGCTTTGTTTGTTGTTGACTGTTTGGGAGGAACCCACCTGTGACTTTCCCACTTAATGAGCTTCTGGTCTTTACTAGCAAAGCATCTCTTTTCCCAGGGGAAAAGATGAGTCCTAAATACGTAAGTAGAGTATATTATCTAATAGTCCTTACTACCGTCCCAGGAAGTCTCAGTAAACATAAACGTGAAACACTTGCTGGAAAAGCACCTGTCAATGGTGTCTCAGAAAGGATTTTTTAAAATCTATTGTTATTGAAGTAGAGTCAGTTTACAATGTTGTGTCAGTTTCTGGTGTACAACATTCAGTCATCCATATACATACATATGTTTGTTTTCATATTCTTTTTCATTATAGGTTACTGTAAGACATTGAATATAGTTCTCTGTGCTATTCAGTATAAACTTGTTAATCTATTTCATATATATTAGTACCTGCAAATCTCGAAATCCCAATTTATGCCTTCCCACTCACTTTACTCTCTGGTAACCATAAGTTTGTTCTTTATGTCTGTGTTTCTGTTTTGTAAATGAGTTCATTTGTATCTTTTTTTTTTTTTTAGATTCCACATGTAAGTGATATCATATGGTATTTTTTTTCTCTTTCTGGCTTACCTCACTTAGTATGACAATCTCCTGGTCCATCCATATTGCTGCAAATGGCATTATTTTGTGCTTTTTTATGGCTGTGTGTACATATATGTATATATATGTGTGAGATATATATTATATATATATCACAACTTCTTTGTCGAATCTGTTGGTGGACATTTAGCTTGTTTCTATTTCTTGGCTATTGTAAATAGTGCTGCTGTGAACATCAAGGTGCATGTCTTTTTGACATGATTTTTAATATGAAAGTACTCTTTAAAAATGAAAGTGGGGTTTTTACATAGAATATCAGTTGGATGGTTATGAGTAAGACCCAAAATAACAGTGGCTTATCCATGATTTAAGTAAAGGCCAGAGGTAGACAATCCAGGGTTCCTACGAAGCCCTCATAGTCTCCTGGGATCAATCCTAGGGCGCAGCACTAGCCTTCGGGTACCAGGAGGAGCTGCTGGCATCAAAACCACGTTGCAGGCATGGAATGGAGGGAGGAACTTGCCATCTGTCTCTCAAGGAAATTTCCTACAAGCTGCCCTTTCCATTCATGCCCCGCAGCCCAGGGCTTAGCCACATGTCCACACCAGCTCAAGGAAGACTGGAAATTGTACTCTGTACTGCAAGCGGCCACGTGCCTCTGGGATTCTAGGCGAGGTGGGTGATACTGGGACAGGCAACCACCCATCTCCCCCACAGTTGTCATAAATGTTCCCCACATTTTCCTCTTTTCTTTCTCCACCAGGGCCCACATTTCACAGTCATATTTGCCCACAGAAATGGCTTGTCTGGTTTGGGATGCTGGTTCTGATATTATTTTTCTAACAAGTAATACACGTATGGTGCTTGTGTTTCAACGTGTCCCTTGATATAGAAATATAATTAGGAAGAATCTAGATGAGGGGGATTGGTCTATATGTTGAATGTTATGGGTTCATTGAAGTGTAAACACCTTACTTAAAACACCGCATCTATTGAGACTGGCAACTATGTCAGGTTGGTAAGTGCGCTGAAATTCAAATTCTTCCTTTTCATCCACTCTCAGACACAGTGGGATGCTAGTCTGTAGGCTTGTGGTGCCACCTGGTGCCCATCAAGAACACAGTCTCCATCCCTGAGCAGGGAGACGACCTCTCAACTTCCAAACGAAGCCCCTGTCCCTTTCAAGATTCCCTACTTTGCTTTTGTTTTTGTTTATATACATATATAAATAATTTAAGTATAGTCAGTTTACAATGTTGTGTCAATTTCTGGTGTACAGCATCATGTTTCAGTCATACATGAACATACATATAGGGGGTGGGTATAGCTCAGTGGTAGAGTGTGTGCTTAGCATGCACAAGGTCCTGGGTTCAATCCCCAGTGCCTCCACACAAAAAGAAGGAAAGAAAGAAAGAAAGAAAGAAAAATGCATCACGAACATATATATATTCGTTTTCATATTCTTTTTCACCATAAGTTACTACATGATATTGAATATAGTTCTGTGTATACACTTGTTGTTTATCTATTTTATGCATAGTAGTTAGTATCTGCAAATCTCAAACTCCCAATTTATCCCTTCCTACCCCCTTCCCCCACCCTTCCCACCCCTTCCCCGGTAACCATAAGTTTGTTTTCTATGTCTGTGAGTCTGTTTCTGTTTTGTAAATAAGTTTGTTTGTCTTTTTCTTTTAGATTCCACATATGAGTGATATCATATGGTATTTTTCTTTCTCTTTCTGGCTTACTTCACTTAGAATGACAATCTCCAGATCCATCGGTATTGCTGGAAATGCATTATTGTATTCTTTTTTATGGCTGAGTAGTATTCCACTGCATAAATATACTGCAGTTTCGTTATCTAGTCATCTGTCAATAGACATTTAGGTTGCTTCCATATCTTGGCTATTGTAAATAATGCTCCTATGAACATTGGGATGCATGTGTCCTTTTGAATTAAGGTTCCCTTTGGATACATGCCTAGGAGTGGAATTGCAGGATCATATGGTAAGTCTATTTTTAGTCTCTTGAGAAATCAAGATCCCCTAGTTAATACCACTTCAGATAATCTTTCTCACACAAACTCTCTTTCCTTCTATCCCTTTCTTCCAGCTCTGGCCCTCTACCCCAGAAAACCTCTCCTCTCCTGATTTGCACCAGAAGCTGCTGTAGTGTAAGTGAGTGTTTTTGATTTCTGTGCGTTGTCTCACTCAATTCCCCCAAGAACACAACGTGCTAATATTATCCCATTGAAGAGGTGAGGAGACTGAGGGGGCAAAGCTCCCAGGTATGCAGAGCTGGGAAGTGGAGTGCAGGGCTGTCTCCAAGCCCACGCTTTCCTGGTGGTTCTCAACCCCTGAAAGCACCTTTAAATGCATCAGTGTGTCATTGGATAAATACATTGTTGTGGGTTGTTATGAAAACCTATCCAATATTTATAACAATGTTCCAAGAGTTAATAAATGTATTCCTTGTTTAAATGACTAATTTAAAAATAAACTTTAGGTGCACCTCCTTTGTGTAGGTTTAAGGATGTCCATATAGTCATGTGTCTTGGCACCTGTTCACTGAAATATATTCATCATTCATTCTCTTCAGTGTGAATTTCAGCATCCAGGCTAGCTGTGTTATTTTAATACTGAATTTAAATTGATAGACTTGTTTCTCAGGGTTGAGGTGACTTTTAGATTTAGCAATGCCCAAAGACATCAGAATCACCTGGGAAATAAAATGCTGATGGCTCTGCCCCCATTGTGGACTTTCTAAAGTACAGCCTCCAGAGGTGGGCCAGAGACCTGGGATCTGCCTTCCGCTCACTGACGGAACTGCCTTATATTTCTGTGGTGTTACTGGATGCATTGTATGTATGTAATGTTGAGTAATTTGAAAGCATGGGATATAAAATTCACCTAATACACAAAAAAGCGAAATAAAGCCCATCCCTTCCAATCAAACCAAAATTTCAAGAATTGCCATTTGAAAGCTCATGAAGGAAATTGGACATTGCTCTGTTTTGTTTTGTTTTTTAAAGCCAGCCTTTACCCTTTGCCCCAAATTCCTGCTAGACTTCTGGGTTAATGTACTCTTCCTTAAGGCGATTGTTAAAATTCAGTTTAATCATCGAAGACGTTTCCAGATAAGCACTTCAGGACATGCACAGACCATCTCTGGTTGGTGCTGCGCTCTGGGCACTGTCCCCAAGGGCAGGTTGGGTTCTTATCACTAGGTGGAGAGATGTCAAATATTCTTACAAGAGAATACAAGCTATACAAGCTACCGAAGGTCAAATTAGCCCAAACACGAAGGGTCAGGAAGGACAGTGGAGGAGTGACTGGGATAAGAGAGGCATCAGGGAAGGCTTTGTGGATGTGATTTTTTGAATCAGGTCTTGAAGTAGGGTAGCCAGATAGGTAACCCAAACACCCTGGTTGTGCACTGTTTTCATCTGGTAGATGGAAGATACTTGATGCACATGTAAGGCAAACGTGGATTTTCTGGATGTTAGATTTGAAATTCTTTCTCTGGAGCTGACTCATGGTCAAAATAGAGGCAAAACAGGCCTGGACAAAACAGGGCCCCATTTTGGCGGGGGAGGGTAAGGCTCAGTGGTAGAGTGCGTGCTTAGCATGCACAAGGTCCTGGGTTCAATCCCCATTTAAAAAAGTAAACAACTAAACTAATTTATCTCCCCCCACCTAGTAAAAAGAAAAAAAACATAATTACCGCCCCCCCCTAAATAAAACAAAGAAAACCCAGGGCTCCATTAAGTGGTGAAGGTGGATATGTATTCAGTGGGACTTTGAAAGCAGCCAGGTTGGAGTGGGCAGGAGTCTGAAGATGTGAGTGCTAATCTGGTCTCCCCACTTCTGACTTGAATAAACTTGGACAAGTCCCTGGATCCTTTGGGTGGCCCCCAGCTGTGAAGGGCTTTTCTCCAGTTGCCGTAGACAGCCTAGCCTTCAAGAGACTCTGATCGTGGCTGGTATATATCAGAGGGCTTTGTAAGCTATGTTAGATATTTGTAAAGTCTGGATTTGTTATTGTTCCTTTAAACCACACCTCAAAGCGTATAGTTTGCCCACTTGGGTAAGGTCCGTACATCATGCTTTCTTACATGGCATTAATGTAGTAAGATTAAGGATCATTTGAGTGACTCCCTACCGCAGGGGTAGAGAGAGTTTGAATGAGGCAGGAAGGCAACAGGCCCAAGATGAGTCTAGAAAGGGAGTGTGTGGGTGTTGGCAGCAGAATGAAGCCTCAGAGACAAAGGGACCCTTCTGCTTGAAAGGGACCCTGACATGTCATCATAGCCATGAATTTGTTGTTGTTGTTGTTGTTGTTGTTGTTGTTTTGTTTGTTTTTTGTATTTTTTTTGTGGGGGTAATTAAGTTTATTTATTTAAAAAACAATTTAATGGAGGTACTGGGGATTGAACCCAGGACCTTGTGCATGGTAAGCATGTGCTCTATCACTGAACTATACCCTCCCCCTGACAGCTCTGATTTCAGTGGCAGTGACAAGGGCAGTAGTGTGGGCAGGGTGTGTAAGAGAAAACCCACTGTGAAGAGTGAGTGAACAGAATGTGGGAGGTGGTAAATGGATTGCATGAGCCTGAGAGAAAGGTTGTGTCCAAGAGAAGGGATCTTGTTGGAGGACTGAATAGTTCATCCGTGATTTTTATGGGTCATATCTTGAGCTGGGAAAATGACACCATGAAAATAGGAGCCGTCCTGCCCACATTCCAGGTTCTCTGTTCACACTGGGAACTTTTATGTCCCTGTGATGGTGGGAGACACTTGGACTTGATTGTCCTCCAGTGTTATTATCTCAAAAAAGAGCCTCAGAAATATTCACGTAGGACTGCCTTGGCCTGGATAGCAAATAATTTCTACTCCTGTGGGAATTCAGGCTAATTAGTAGCAGTTGCCTGGAGTGTAGTGATGGGGACAAGGCTCTAAGGCAGATCTGGGGCTCCGTGGGCAGGGGCACTCTTGGGGCCTAGTGGTGTCTTAGCCCTGGGAGCAGGTAGGTTCTTATTTTGCTGACCTTGACAAGACTCCAGAGCCCTGGGGAGGAGCCTCATACCCTGGGGTACAGCTCTTTTCTGCTTTGTCCTCTGATCACTTGCAGCCTTGTACATTCCGCTGTTGTGTGTTTCCAGTGCACCCCCTCCCATCGCCTCGTGCTCTCCTTCCTCAAAGGCCAGCACTCACCCCTCTGCCAGGGCAACCTTCTCTTCTCTGCCTCTCCACCTGGCACCAAACCATGGAGCAGTTGCTGGGAGATTGAGGTTTCCAGGTGTTGCTGCATTTTATCCCATGTGAAAGGGGCTGTGGTTTCACCCAAGAGAGATGCGGACCTTACAGGACCCTGAAGGCACCTCTTAGGTTTAGAACTTGCTCAAGAAGGCTCTGCTCTCCTGGCATAGTGATGACATGATCTTGCTGGGTCAGGCTCAGACTTGGTTCTCTGGGCTCCGTGGTGTAATTGTTAATGCCACAGGCAGAGGTCGCCATTTTGTTTTGGTTCCTTGCATCTCATAGCTGGGGGTGTGAGGGAGACACTGAAGACTTAATTGAGCCTTAACATAGGTTATGCCCTGGCCCAGGGTTATTCACCTGAGGGCGTAGGGGTTTTGAAAGAAGTGAAAGCTTGCAAGGTGGGTGTTTTGGTCATTTCTTCCAGAATCCAAACAATGATTTACACTTACATTGCTACTTAAGTCTGAGGGGACATGGAGTGCCCTTACTATTAGTTGGGTAATAGCTTGGAATGTGGTCCATAGATGATTGAAAATATAATTATGATCAGCACTAGGTCCAAATCAGAGTTGTAAGCAAATCTGAGAGATGGCATGGTTTTGAAGTATAAGAAAGGATTGGCGCCAGTGCGGGTGGCCCTCCTTCCCACGTCTTCCGCAGATAGATGGGAAGGGACTGGGGTGAACGAGAGCAATATGTCTTTTGTTTACTATTCACCTGTCTCTGTGTGAATTCAAGACGGTGAATTCCTACCTGCCATTTTTTTCAAGAGGAGCGAAACTGCTCAGACTCACCTAAAAAAGTCGATTCCATGAATTCCTGAACCTGTTAGGAGACATGAAACATCAGCCCCTGCCCATCATACACATCCCCATACACACTGGGAGTGAGAATGGTATCTGTGGACCATTTGTCTTGGTCTCCTTTTCTTGGTAGATCCCCATGGCTCCAGATGACCCCTAAATTGGCTAGTGTGATGAAGCAGATGGAGGGCGGGGGAGCCGGGTATTCAGCATACAACTGGTCCTTTTCTTGTCTAAGCCACCTATAAGGGCTGATCAAATGAAGCACTGTTCATGTCTGGGCCAGTGATACCCAAACTATAGTGTGCATCAGAACTCCTGAATCTTTTAAAACACAGATTGCTGAGCCCTACCCTCAGAGTTTCTGACTCAGGAGATCTGTGGGTGATGTCTGAAAATTTGCATTTCTAACCATCATCCTAGATGATGTTGGTGATGCTGATTCAGACACCACGCTTTTCTTTTATTTAAAATTAATTTAAAATAAAAAATATTTTTATTGATGTATAGTTGATTTACAATTATTTTTTAATTTTTAAGTTAAAATTTTTGAAATATAATTTACAACAGACAGCACACTTTTCCAATCACGGACCTAGGCTATTGGTTATCAACCATGTGGGCTGCATGTTAGAATTGCTTGGAAAGGAAAAAAAAAAAGACCCAGATCATATCTCAGATCATTTTCAACAGACTCTATGTGGGTGGCACCAGACATCAATATTTTTAAAGATCCTCAGATGATTCCAATGTGCAGCCAAGATTGAGAATCACTGATCTAGGTTCTTGAGAGAGATGACCATTAATGTAGATGTGCTGGATAAAAGTCAGCAGAACCAATGCCTTCTGTTCTTGGTCTGAGGTAGGGTACTTGTGTAGTATGGACATCTTTCCTTGGGATGAATGCAGTTAGCAATGATTGTGATCGTGGAGGTGGATAATAGCTTGGACAAAGATTTGAGCAGAGTCAAGAAGTTTGCAAGAGCAATCATGGAAAGGGTAGACAAGCTGATTAGGGAAACAGAAGATGATTTCTGGGCAGCAGTGAAAGACCTCTGGGAAGTGGAGACCATACATTTATTTGGGGGCTCTTCTCCAAAAGGTATGAT